TTGGGAATTAATCTTTAAAACCTGACAGTAAACATTAAATTCAATTAGGGAGAACGATTAGCAAGGCTTCTTTGCGCCTTCACTCTGGGTAGCTCCGAGGAGTGGCTGCCTGGTCTGCATTGATCCCGGCACTGTTGTCGCGTGTGGATCAGCCAGGAGGGCCAAGCGTGCGTTTTTCACTTCAGAGAGGAGTTATCGGGCAGTTGCAGACGGATGGATTTCCCTAAACACGTTTCCATCGTGGGTTCCAGAGGCCCCCTGGCCAGGAACTCAAACTGTCTGGTTTGTGGCTTTTGGCCCTGGTGCCACAGCGGTCTCTCCTCTCTCTGAGTATGACCATGATCCATCCTTCCTCTCCTCCCATCCCTCCTCTCCTTTCCTCTCTCTTCCTTTTCCCTCTCCTCCCTCCTCCCATCCCTTTGCTTTCTTTTCTTCTTCCTCTTTCTTCTCCTTCATCCCTCCTCTCTCTTCCTATTTGCCCTTCTCTTCCTCCTCTTCTTCCTCTCCATTAACATTATACATTATGAAATATTTTAAACATAATCAAAAGTCTAGAAAGTGACGTTGCCGACACCTGGGTACCCACGACTCAGGTGGTAAAATCCAGGGTCCGGTCCAGATCTCCTCTGACCACCGTGCCAGCAGCATGGGACCCAGCGCTGTCTCTTCCCCTGGCTTCCGGGAGGGATCACCGTCTCCTGCTGCTTCTCCTGCCCCACAGGCCTCTCCTTCTCAGAGTCCTCCTGTGGTTTCTCCTTAGCCTCCTCGCGCCCCAGCCTGTGAACACTGGGCCTCCTCCCTGCTCTGTCTACATTTATTCTAGTGCATGACTGAAACGGCGTCAGTGACAGGGACCCCCAAAGCTCAGCCTCCACCCTGGACCTCACACTCATGCATCCAGCTGCCCGTTCCCTCTCTGTCATTCAAAACTGAGCTCCTGGTCCTCCCCAGAGTTGCCACTCCTCTCATCAGACACACCCCGCCACCTCTTTCCTCTGGGTGCTCCGGCCAGAACCAAGGACTGTCCTGGACTTTTCTCGTGCCCTCCTGCCCTACCTCCGAGCCAAGGTTGGTTCTACCTTCCAAGCAAGGCCACTTCTCCCCCGTTTCCAACTGGGCCAAGCCATCCTCCTCTCGCCCTGGACGATCACAGGCGCTTCTCGTGTCTCCCTGGCTCCTCGCTCTCCCCACACGGTAGCCAGAGCGGCCCGTCTGGAGGGTCCTTGCCCCAGGTTCTGTGTAGCTTCCCTCCTCAAGTCACCTCCTCCGAGAGGCCCTGCCCGGCCATCTTTCCAGCCCCGCCTCTTTTCCCCGCTTACTTCTTAGTATGCTAGGCGTTATCACCACCGTAAACACTACATAGATCCGCTGGTTCATCTTGTTCAGTGTCTTGTCTACCCCACCAGAATGCAAATTCTCTATGGCAGGGGCTTTGTCTTCCTTGTTTACTGCTGAACAATGCCTGGCTAATAGGTACTCAGGAAGTGTTTGCTGAATGAATGCGTAAGTGAAGGAGTCTAATAGATGGCAACATTTGGGCATATTTGCTTCAGAGCAGATTCATATTCTCTCTGCCTCTCTTTAGGGAAGGACAGCGTAGTGTTCATAGCTCCCTGCCCCTGACCCGGCCCCTCTCCCTCCATTATCAGGAATGACTATTATATCCATGCATATTTTATAGTCTTACTGCAAATGCACAAATAAACAGGATAGAGTTTTGCTTCATGTGTGATTTTAAAATTGTGTGGAAATACAGCTAACATAAAGTTTAGCACCTTAACCATATTTAGGTGTATGATTCAGTGTGTTAAGAACATGCATGAGACCTAGCCAGTTTGGCTCAGTGGATAGAGTGTCGGTCGTTGGCCCAAAGGGTCCTGGGCTCGATTCCAGTCAAGGGCATGTCCTTGGTTGTAGGCTCCTCCTCGGCCTGGGCCCTGGTTGGGGCTTGTGCAGGAGGCAATCAGTCGGTGTGTTTCTCTCACACCAATGTTTCTCTGTCTTTCCCTCTCTCTTCCACTCTCCCTAAAAGTCAATGGGAAAATATCCTGGGTGAGGATTAACAAAAAAAAAAAGAAAGAAAGAAAAAAGAAAATGCATGTTATTCTTCAACCGTCCCCGCCATCAATTTCCAGAATGCTTTCATCCTGCAAAACCAACAATGTCTCTACTAAACAGCTAGCTCCCCGTCCCCTCCCCCTCCCCTTCCCCCTCCCCCTCCCCCCTCCCCCCTCCCCTCCTCCTCCCCAGCCACTGGCAACCACCCTTCTATCGTCTAGCTGTGGTTTTTACTACTCCAGAGAAGTGGAATCAAACACTGTTTGTCTTTTGTGACTGGCTTAGTTCACTTAGCAGGGTTCATCCATGCTGGAGCCTGTGAAAGAATCTCCTTCCTTTTTATGGCTGAGTAATACTCCTCGGTATGGATGGACCCCTCTTGTTTATCCGTGCGTCTGTCGGTGGACCCTTGGCTGTGTCCACCTTTGGCCGTGGTGAACAGTGTGACTATGACCATTTGTGTGCACACACCCCTGGGAGACCCTGGTTCCAGTTCCTCTGGGCACACAAGAGGGATGGTTGGAGCCTGTGGTAACTGTGTTTATTTTTTGAGGTACTGCCATGCTGTTTTCCATCGAGGCTGGACCATTTTGCCTTCCCACCAACAGTTCACAAGGGTCCAGATTCTCCCCACTTCACCAACGCTTATTTTTTGTTTGTTTGTTTGTTTTAGAGTAGCCATCCTAATGGGTGTGAGGTGGCGTTTTGTGTGTTTTTAAAACTTAGATGGCATCGTACTATGTATAAGCAGCATGGCCTGTGTACTCATTATATTTTTACTGCTTAGCCTTTGGATCTTAGTTCATTAATTTTACTTTATTTTTTTTCCTGTGTAAGTCAGACTTGTACATAGTATTGAAAAACAAACAGCAGTTGCCTGCACTCTGCCTTCTGCCATGAATCCACTCCACTTTGAAGGCCCTGGCTCTTTCTCCCGGGGTTCCTGTCCATGTTGCTGAATGTCAATGCTGCTATTCGGGATTCTTCAGTTTGAGGCCCGGTCCTGGCTCCCTAGGGGGAAGAAGGGACTGAGCTCTCTTAACATTCTGAGAAGGCTGCTCTCGGCCTCTTGTTTTCTTACGCTTGGACCTCCAAGCCCAGGAAACGTGCTTTCGAAGCTTCAGGATGAATTTTCTCATCGTGAAAGGGGAGGTTCTCTCTAGGGTCAGGTTTGTGGGTGTGCGTGGGTTCCTGGGTGTTGTTGAGAGAGTGTCCAGGAACCCTGCTGCCAGGACTGCGTGCCTGCCAGCCCCAGGAAGCAAGGCCGCCAGCACTGCGGCTCCGCTGTCTGCCTGCAGGGTCTCCACTGCCTGGAGTGGAGCTCGTCTTATCCCCGCTTCCTGGAGGAGGAGACCACGGCCCAGAGGGCCAGCAGCAAGGAAGGCCCTTGGCCCGACGCCCGCGTGCCGGCTGCAGGGATCTGTAGGGGCTCTTCCTGCTTCCCTTGTTCAGTCCTTGGAGCCTCGCGTGGTAGGTGAGGCCAGGCCCTGGGCTGGCTGCACGCCTGCCTTTTCTCCTGACTCCGTGGCAGCGGGTGGAGTTTCCTGGGCGAGCTGATGACAGCTGAACACAGGTCCTCAATGTACCCTGTGGCCCTGGCTCTTGGAACGAACAGTTTATATTGAGGGCTCAGTAGCGTATGCCAGAAGTCAGCAAGTGCACTGGGGGCTTTCTGCCACAGGCCTCACTCCCTCACGGAAAGCCAGGGTGGGAATGGGAACAGTGCCTTCTCTCCCTCGGGCAGACGTGTAAGCACAGGTGTGACAGGCTCTTGTTTGGCTCTTGGTCTTAAAGCAGGACCGTGAAGAGAGGCTGGCCTGGTGCAGCGTCCCCTACAGGGCTGAGCGAGTCCCATCTCGGAGGAGAGGTGCCAGAGATGCAGGTGAGACTGCACAGGACGGGGAATGTGTGTAGCTGAGCAGCAGAACGTGGGGCATACTGTTTTCTTGTGGGCTTCCTGAACCCCAGAAAAGTTTTTGGGAAAAGCTTCCTCTCAACTCACCAGCCCCAAGCCTTTACCTTTATACAGGAGAAGTTTAGCCTCCAGATCTGGTTTGATGGTAAACTGAAGGGAATCTAGTTCCACTGCAAGACCCTTCTCCCTGGCCGGGGCCCATTTCTTTTTTTAAAATAATTTTTAAAAAATATGTTTTTACTAGTGACCGGGTGCACGGATTCATGCACATTGAAAGGAAAGTAATTAGAAGGTGGCTGGCAGGTGGGACTGGGCGAGATGGGCCGGACACGCCCTGGAGCCAACCTCCTGTGGTCAGTCCCCATTGTCTGTGGAGTGAATGGGGTCCCTCTGGCAGGTGGGGTCCCTTGGCCTGGCTTGCGGGGATTGGGCCGAAACTGGCTCTCTGACATCCCCCGAGGGGTCCTGGAGTGCGAGAGGGCACTCTGCAAAGTTGCTGTTGTACAGGGCGTGGAACGCAAATGCAAGTGTGCAGTAAACCAGATTCGGGGCTGACGGTTCCCCAATAACAACATAACCCACGGCCGAAGGTGGAATCGCGGCCCCGTGAGGAATCGGGCTCCCTCCTCTCTGGTTTTGGGGTGTGTCACTCAAGAACCGCCACTGCCAAGTCACTGCAGCTTGGCAGCTCCTGTGTTGAGCGTCTGCCGCCTGGTGGTCAATGCGCGTCATAGCGACAAGTCGGACAGTAGGAGGGACACTTAGCATATTAGCCTTTTATATATATTGATTGATTTCAGAGAGGAAGGGAGAGGGAGATAGAAACATCAGTGATGAGGGAGAATCATTAATCCGCTGCTTCCTACATGCTCCCTACTGGGGATTGAGCTCGCAACCCTGGCATGTGTCCTTGACCAGAATCGAACCCGGGACCCTTCAGTCTGCAGGCCAACACTCTATCCACAGAGCCAAACCGGCTAGGGCAGGCAGGGCCCATTTCTGACGTCTGCGCTGTGCTTGCCCGCAGGTGTGGAACGCGGTGGACTCGGGGAGATGCCTGCAGACCTACTCTCTGCACAGTGAGGCGGTGCGGGCTGCTCGGTGGTCTCCCTGCGGCCAGCGCATCCTCAGCGGTGGCTTCGACTGCGCTCTGCACCTCACCGACCTTGAAACAGGTGCGTTTCTCTGTTGTCACCCACGGCATCCCTTCTGGTATTGGAGCCAGCTTTCCCCTGGGAAGCCCCTCCCCGCGTCTGTGGCTGGTGTCGGGGCCGTGGGAGGTGGGCCCGGGCCTGGAACCAGGCCTCTCCTCGGAAGTTGGGCCGGGCCTGTGCCAGCCTGCCTGGAGGACAGAGCTCCAAGGTTGTCTCAGCCCCAAGCTGTGGGCTGGATAAAGAGGTGCCTTTTTAATCAACTTCTGACATGTAATTTGTCCTGAAATAGATTCAGCTTTATCACCGTGTCCTTTGGTCGGAATCAGTTTAGAATTCCTGTCAATTCATTATCGTTGAAAGCTATAAGGAATGATTCCAGCGCGTAGGGCGAGTCTGCGTACGAGTTCTGCTTTAATGCCCGCGCTGAAAAGGCATTTGGGCGAGAGGGAGCCGGGCTGGGCAAATCCGAAGGGGGCTCTTGACAAGCAGGGCGAGAAGGAGACAGAAGTCAGCGAGGGAACTTCGTCACCAGCCCTGCTGCGCAGCCGGCACTGTTAGCCCCCAGTCCAGCCACAGCCCGACCTCCTGCCGTGGTTTTCAGGTGAGGTCAGGCCAGGGAGTGCGGAGCTGGGCTCAGACCTCTGCCCCGACCCCTGGCGTGCTGCCTTCTCCTCCCTGGGCTTCTGGGTCACTCTTCTGCTGGGCATCACTGCCAGAGCCAAGAGGGGAGGCCCTGGGGGTCCTTTGAACTCTCGGGCAGCCCCCGCCTACCTGGCCCAGCAGTGGTGGGGCTGGGGTCTGTGCCTCTCCTGGGGCCCAGCAAGTGGGGGTAGTAACTTCGGGGTTGGACACCCAGCTTCTCCCCAGGAGCTTGGAGGAGGTGCAGGGAGGGCAGGCAGTGGTGGTTAGGGGCAATTGTGGGGTTTGTCCCCCCCCGTCGAGTGTCCTCGTGCCCTGGGCTGCAGAGGGGCAGCCTTGCAGCGCTTCCGACTGAGCCCCATGCGCTCAGGGAGGGTGGTCACCTGACCGGCGGTCGTGTCAGCAGCTGGGCCTGTGCCCATGACATGTCGCTCTGCGCCTCGGCTGCTGCCCGCGATTATTTCTCCATTTCACAGGTGAGGAAACAGGCTAACAGGATGAGGAGCTTGCTCAGGGCCTCCCGCGGGTGGGTGTCATATGGGGACTTGAGCCCTGTCTGTGCAACTGCAGAGCCTGTGCCCTTTCCGCAGGGCCACATGGACGGCGTGGCTCTTCTCAGCAGAGTGTCTCCCTGACTGTCTGTGGTCTTACCAGGAGCCACAGGGCTGAGGAGGGAGCCAGGGCTCAGGGTGCCACTTGGGGACGGCGCCGATTGGGTCAGTGATGACAGCAGCAGGTACTGTCACCGAGTACCCACTGCGTGCCAGGACTTACACATGGGCCTCATTTAGGCCCCACTCACCCTTAGAGGCTGCTGCCACCAGAATCCTTTTTTCACACCCTGATCCAGAGGCATGAGGCAGGAGGTAGAGTCAGGATGCATGCAGGCCTGCCAGGCTCCGAGCCTTCCACCTGACCTTGTACTCTGTGGCCTGTGCGTCCAATAAGCCATGCTCAGTATCGGAGACAGAGGGGTAAACAAGACCCAGGACCCACCCTGGACAAGCTCCTGGCTGCTGGGAGACACAGCAGTGCAGAGAGAACCCAGGCCACAGTGAGGCAGTGAGACACAGGAGCTATGAGAAAGTCTAGCCTGGAAGATCAAGGAGGACTTCTTGGGGGAAGAGGAACCTGAGCTGAGGCAGGAATCAGGGGCAGAGAACCAGGGTGCAGGGGCGTGGTTGAGTGGGAGGAAAGTGGGTTCTAGCAGACAGAACAGCAAGGACAGAGTGGTCACAGGAGCATGAACTGTCTGGCATGAGTGGAAATGTGGGGTGTAGGGAGCTGGGGGGTCTGAATCTGGGTGCAGAAATGGAGCCTGAGCGTCATGAAGCTCAGGTCGGTGGGATGCACATTCCTCGGGCGCTGCTCCTCACTTGCAGGGTCACTAAGGACCATGGGCGCTGCTGCCCACCCGCCCCGCCCGCCCACCCGCCTGCCCACCCGCCCCGCCTGCGGGGTGAGGTGATGCTTTTCATAGCCTGGTGATGCCGGGTTAATCCAATACAAGTTTATTTGATAACATTATTGGATTCCTAGTGGCCCTTTGTCAAGCTCTATCTTCTCAATCAACAGATGTTAAGCAGATAAACAGACACTGGTGTGTGTGAGTGGGGGGGCGGTTCTGAAATTTATAGACTTTCAGTCCTCCTGCCTGATAAGTCAGGCACTGTCACAGCAGGTGGCAGTAGGAGGCTGCCGCTGAGGCTGGAGCACTCCGGGCAGGTTTCCTGGTAGCCGAGGCTGGTTGGGTGTGTCTGGGGCCCGAGGAGGGGAGGCAGCTGCCTGGCCCTTGTTGGTGGAGCTGTGGCTGGAGGGAAGCTGTCTGGCCCCGCCCTGTGTGCCCCGATAGCTGTGGTGTGCCCAGTGGCAGAGGGAGGGCATGGCCCTGCCCTCAGAGCGTTGCCATCTGGTCTGGGAGGTGATGGGGACTTTTCCACGCACCCCCTCTTCAGGGAATGGCACGAACCACCTGGGTTAAAGGACCACTTTCCTTCATTCGGCGCTTATTGAGCACCTACTGTGAACAAGACCTGGTGCTGGGCTACAGTGGTGAGCATGTTGGATGTCCTTTGTCCCTTGGGGGGCGGGGTAGGGAAGAGGGGTTTGGGTTTCACCCTTGAGAAAGCCCTTCAGCCCCTAGATGGGGCCTCTCTGGCTGAGGGGTTGTTGGTTTTCGTGTCCGTCTCCCTGGCTAGAGCTCTTGGGGCCGAGGCCTGTCTCGGTGGTCTTCGTGGTCCACCATGGAGCCAGGGCTGATGGACGAGACAGAGCTGAGTCTGGCCCTTGCTGGGCAGTCAAACACCAGGGGCCGTCAGGGTGGGGTGGGTGCTCTGCCCTGTTTGCACTCACCCCTGCTCAGGTTGCGCTGGCGCTCTCTTCAGCCGAGTCAGGTAGGTGTCTGCAGCGCCTCTGGCTCTCGGCCTGGTCCCATGTCCTGCCCTTTCTCGTCACTGAGTGCTCTCCCTCCTCACTTGCTCTGCCCTTGGTGATTTGGCTTTTTCATTTCAATCTAATTAGAACTCCCTGCCAGGAGAAGGCAACGCAGGGCGTCCTCTCCGCAGTGCTCCGGGAATTAGTCACTCGGTGCCCATTGTCGTTAATGGGAATTTGGCGCCAAGACCATTTATCCTGGTGTCCTCAATCAATACCGTTAAAAATCTGTGGATTCTAAAACGTCAATACCCGGCCTGAAATATGGAGGTCCAGCCACATTTTATCTCGTTAATTTATAGTTCTGACGGGCCACTGGCTTATAGAGCAACCATGAATCAACACTTAAATAAAATCCGCTCACAGATTAATTATTTTTGATGCTCTCGTTTCAGTCTGTAATCTTCCTAACAAAACGTCTCTGGTGCATTAGGCTGAGGCGGCTTCAGGGAACGCCGGCCAGTTCCACCAGGACCCGCACGTCGCCTGCTTTATGAGTCAGCGTCCTGCACGCCACATCAGCCCGTCTCCTCCCCGTTCTTGGCGGGCTCGCTCAGGTCCAGGCGGTGTGGCTTCTAGCACAGACCAGCCCCCCAGTCACCCCAGCCTGGTTGTAGTGGCCTCTGAGGTCAAGGAGACAGTCCTCCCCCTGGAGCCCATGCCCTGGCTAGGCAGACCCCCTGCTCTTCCTGTGCCACCGTCAGCTCTACCACTGTGCGCCAGCCCGTCTGGGACACCCTTCCCAGCGCTGGGGGCACATGTGTGCCAGAGCGTGGGTGGGGTGCAGAGGCGGCCGAATGTCCTCGGCGGGTCCCTTTGCCTTGTTTCTGCGTCTGTGGGAGGGGCTGACAGCCTGGCTGGTGGGCTGTTGAGGGAGAGCTGAGGTGAGGTGTGCAGGGCTTTCTGCAGAATGCCCAGCGCATGGTGGGCTCTCAGCAAAGGGTCCCCCTTCCCTCCCTCCATCACTGCCCCATGAGGCTGTTCAGACGGTAGGAGACAGCGACTTGTTCCTGCGGGTTCCCTGTGTGGACGGGGCAGGCTGGGAGGAAGTCCCAGCTTCTCTCCCACGTCTCGCTTTTCCATGACTACATGGCCCGTAGGTGGGGTAGCAGCTTCCTTCTCGTGATGGGATGGCATGTGCCCTTTGCATGGGGAGGGTGTCCTCTGTACTGGACCCCACTGCGTGCAACTTTGCTGTCCTCAGCCCTTGGCTGGCTCCTGCTCCTCTGGGTGGCCCTGTCTTTTGGGGAGGGGAGGGCATTATGGCGCATGGAAATGAGTGGCCCACTGGTCTGGACACATAAATAATCATTTCTCTTGGTTTCCTGGAAGGGTCTTCCCGTGCCCCCCTCGCTCTTGCATCATGATTGGGCCCCACCACAGAGACGCTGCAAGGACACCGGAGGGCAGATGGCTGAGTGCTCACCGGGGCCAGGCCACGCTGAAATGAGTGAATGGATGCCAGACCCTTTGCTTATTCCACCTTTCGTCTCCACACGAGCCTGGGAGGGGAGTGTTTTTACCCAGACTCAGAGGCTTAGAGTGTTTGGTGATGTGCTTGGGGCCATGCCACCAGCAGACCCGGTGGGCCTCCTGCTCCAGCTCCAGCTGTGTGACTGTGGAGGCTTTGCCTCTTGACCCTGGGGAGCAGCGTGCCCTCGCCACATCTGTTTTCCTGCTCTGGACAAACTGTTTGCTCAAGCTGATTCGGGGAGCCCACTTGGTGCTCACCGGGCAGCTGGCTCGCCACCTGCAGAGAGGACCCCGGGGCTTCTGGGTGGAAGGCGTGCCCAGACGGATCTTGGCTGATCCCTCTGATTAAGTGAGCGGCTGAAGGACGCTTCCACGGCCATCGACAGCCGCCGCTCCAGCAGGAGAAATGTTAGCCCTGACGGTTTTAGAACACTTGGTGTAGGAAGGATGAGCAGCATCCAAATTAGAACCCTGGC